TATATATATATATATATATATATATATATATTATCAAATGCTGTCTATACCCCCCAGCTGTTTTTCAGACTATGGATAGCTTTAAATTTTATGTGCGTGTTATTTTAAAATAAATGATTGGATTGAGACAAATTGATAGAATCCTGAAGTTGAAGTTGTATAATTATTCAGGTGGTTATAGTAGTAAGGGTGGAGGGTTAGCTTCAGTAATAGGAGGGTTAGAAGGGAGATTCATCCCGAATTGTTATTAATAATTCTTGTTATCTTTGGGAAATGATGCCATAGCTTGGTTGTAGAAAGGGATCGCCCTTTGTTGAAGGGGAAGCCCTTGGAAGGAGGATTGATTCTTTTTTCTGTTCAGATTTCATTCACTAATAATAGGTTCATTAGTTTTCTTTCTAATTTGAATGTTATTCTTCAAATCTTGTTTGAGTTCACAAAACGAACCAATTCATTCTCTTCTTTGATTACTCTCTGCCTTTAATTCCTTCTACTATCAAAAATAAATTTGTGATGTTTGACGAGTTTGTCTGATACATACTTTGCTTGAGTTGCCTACAGATGTGAAAAATATCTGGAGTACTAAATTAATTAAACTGTATCTTTCAAGTGTCAGAATATCATTTTACTCAAAATGTTTTAGCAACATAATCTACTCAAGCAAGTTAAATTACTATATATATATATATATATATATATACATGTGTGTGTGTATATATATATACATATTTGCTCAACCACTGGAGTGGTTAATGTATTTGATTTCAATAATTCTCCCCTTTTGGGGCGGCTAATTGAATTCACAAAAATGGATTGTTGTGCTGAATAAGTTGTTATTGACTGGAATATTAACGAATATTTTCGTATTATATCTTGGTAACTTCTTTTGTTTTAAAATAAAAAATAAAAATGGAGAAAGTATCTGCTGGATATTCATTATATGAAAATACATGTACGTATCACAAGACCTTTACTAGTGTATATCTTGATCCTTTTGATTTTCAGTCATCATGTGTGAGGCGTCCAAAATTTATTGTTTGCACCGGTGGAAATCCTTCAGGTTATATTCCTACACATACAAGCCAAAATTCAACAACCAGGTAAATACTGTGGTTTTAATTCTAAACCATACTGATGGCACTAGATATCTAGTAATCTACATTTTCAAATCTATACTTTCATGGGCAGTGGATTACTTTCTGGAAATATTTGGAGGAACCTATCATCATTGATGCCTCAAAGGGAAGTGTCTACTCAGGTATGTGTCATCTTGTCTTTTAAGTGCTTTTGGTGGGCTTTCAAGTAATCTTGTACATATTTTCTGGTGTGATAACCATTTTTGCTTTTCTCATTATGTGAACAAATGGAATGAAATTGTTGTGTAATACACATTCATGACAAGTGTACGTGGACCTCTTATATGTGATATGCTGATATTTGAATCTAATCAATTTCTGTAGGGTTAATTTAATTTTATAAAAGTTTGTTAGTACCTTGATTATCTTGTACCAATATGTGAGAAAAATATAACAAATAATTATTGTTGTGTGCATTATCTGCTCATTTTAGGTGTAAGCCCAAAGAGTGTGCTTGCATGTAGTCAATTTCTGTCTGGCTTTATATTTACCCCCTGCCATTCATTTGGCAAATTGTTTTTTCGTCTTTAATAGGCACTAGTTCTCGAGAAGGAGATTTTCTAGAGATTTAAGCAGCTGGCGGCAAGTGTCAAGATTTTTGACCTGGGATGATTCTTTTTTGTTTGAATTAATCTTTTATCTTCAACTCAACTTTATTAGAACATTACGTTGTATCTGTTAGATTCATCAATACATCCATCATCCATAGGGCTGTGACAACAGCAATTGGTATAAGTAAAAAAAATATATTACTCCCATTTCTTATCTTTAGAAGTTCACTTCATTATTGGGAATATGAAATGTTACATAACATGATTTTGCCCTGTTCACTTGAATGATATATTATCTTTCCATTTCAAGCTGTTTAATAACTGGCTTTGAATCTATTGATGCCCTGATAGTTAATGACAGCAGTTTTGATCGAGTAGTCACTAAATTATGCTTATGTTGAATTGAGAAGTTGAGAGCTCACATACATTTGATTGTGTTATGTGATGCCTTTCAGTCAACTGAGGGCAGTAGGTTCCCTGGGACGGGAAGGACCCTTGGCTCTGGTCAAGGTCAAATGGGATCTCATCGGCATTCAGATTCAAACCTTCAAGCTAGACTTTTGGAGGATAGCAGTCCCAATAACCCTGTAGATTCATCCACTCGTAGTGCTACTCAACAGTTTTCAGAAGCAAGGTATGGGAGATAGTTTTGAGCATAATTGATAACTTATGGTGATTGCTTATTAAAAGTAAAATTTTAATATGCTGACCACAATCATCTTTTCTTTTGTAGTTTGCATCTTTTCTTTTGTAGTTTGAACCTGTTATAATACCATCCAACAGTACGAAGATACTTAGCATAGACTGATAAATTTATAGTTTCTTTCCCCGTTCTAGGAATGGTAATTTTGAACAAGAACCCAACACAAGTTACATAAGTTTGGGGTGTAAATGGGTTCCCTCTAACATGTGACAAGAAGCTTATGTGGTCAAGTTGATCTGTCTAGCCTGAATTAATTCATGCAACACATATTAGTGCATTTATGTATAACTTCAAAACTAATATTAAAAAAGAATAGGAATGAAAGTAAATTTATTTAGTTTGAGTTATAAAATACTTAACATGATTTTAATTATAAGCTATTTTAAATCCTTTTCTAGCATAAATATGTATTATCGTTGGGAGAATGTAAATAAAATGCTTCATGAATAATTCAACTTACATGTCCATAATTGTTGGACTCCGAGATGTATTCATAATGCATGTCTAATCTATAAGCTTATAACGTCTACTTAATAAGAAACACATACGAGGCTTCTTTAATCTTTATAATCCATTGTCCAAGAATCCAGTAATATTAATGAAGAGTTCATTGAGTTGTAAATAGGTTGGTTTTTGATCATTGCTTGCTTACTTAAATTAAACTTAATTGAGTGTTACCAGTAACTGGTTGTATTGGGTTGCCCGTTTAACAAACATGACATGTTTGGGCTAGGAACTAGACATGAACAAGGTCTTATCGTTAGTATCATTGGAAATGGGAATATTAAAGTGTAGTATATGTACATGGATTGATAGTTCAAGTTAAATAGCTATATTACAATTTCAATAGGATTAGAATCATATTATTCAAAAGTTTGTGTTTCTGTATGGATCACGTTTACTAAATCTTTCTAATTCAATCTAGGCATTCAGTTGAGAATGTTGCCACAGCAACTGCAGGTGTTCCACAACATCAGGTCCCTTTATATACATACCGTGGTTAAAACTTTCTTGTTTTCATTGGGTTAATCTGGTTGGTTAATATTTACTATTTTTCCCCCTATAAATGCAGGGGGCAGTTGCTTCGGAAGAGGGGATTAGAAAACTTGTATCGATGGGCTTTGATAGGGTAAAAATCAGTTTCCTTATCTTTTCCACGTCAGAATATGGCTTGAAACTCTTTAAAACTTTTATGTTTGTCCTTGCCTCCTTGCAAGATTTGTTACATGTCTTGGGCTGATTACTCATTTAATAAATGTTTCGTCTTAAGAACTGAGTATGTGTTCGGCTGGTTTCAGACGCAGGTGGAAGTGGCGTTGGCAGCTGCTGATGGCAATCTCAATGTGGCAGTGGAAATACTCATGAGCCAGCAGGTCCTAGTTGATCATTTTTTTTTATCATCTATAGTTCTTCACGTTTACGTGTTTATTTATTTGTATCTTGATTCTCTTTTAGTGAAAAATTCTTGGGCTATCTCATTTGCAGGGTTGAAAAGTTTCTTTTGGATTCTCGGAGACTTCCCTGACACAGTTATTTGAGTGTTGCGCTTTGTTCTATCACTGTCTGTGTTTAATCTTGGACCCTACCACTAACAGTTCGCTGACACCTGATACCCATGCTAAAGCCAATTAGCAGAATTGAACATATGTAAATGCTACAAGAAATATTAAGGAATTCGATGTTTTATTGAGGACATAGTGAACATTTTGTTTCGCTAGATATTTTTTTCCCTTTCTCTTTTCCCTGTTCAACATGTTTACAGATATAAATAAATATATACACAATGCCTCTAATGCCAGCTAACCAAGAAATCGGAATCTCTATAATCTTGTCTTTTTAATTAGTATTCATTAGTTAAGAAATCAATAATAAATTTTTTTGATTAAAAGTTGTGTTACGGGTATTGAAAATCATGGTGGGATGCATCAATAATATTCTTTTGATTCATGCTAACCAGAGTCATGAAAGGAGCCAGGAGGATATGAATTGGGAGGTAATTTTAAAAATTAAAATGTATTGAATAAATGTATAAAATATAAGTATTAATTTTTATATAAAATATTTGTAATATTATATTTTTAAAATAGTTTAATATATAATAGAAAGATATATTTATATATTTTCTTGATTTGTAAGAAAGTGAGAAGAAAAAAGAAAAATGCAACTAAACTCTAGGGAAAGAGATTCTCAAGGACAATCTTGTCAAATAATTAAATTATCAATTGTAGATAATTCACGACAAACTAAAGAGTCTGCACATATGTTTATCTCTTGATATAAATGGTGGAATGAGGTATGTAACTTTTTAGTTCTAAAGGATCTAATGAGATTGATGATGACTAGAGATGACAATATGGATTGAATTTGGTGAGTTAATTTGTTAACCCACTTAACTTTGATGTGTTCGGTTGAACAAATAAATCTATCAACTCATCTTGTTGATCGGGTGGGGTCAACCTTCTAATTCGATGGGTCAACTCATCTTTTTTTTTTTAATGAAGATAAATTTGATGCTCGTAATGAGGATTGAACCTAGGTCCTCATGCTTCTAACTACCCCAACCCCTCCCCACCCAACCACTAGGTTAACCTTAGTGGTAAGATAAATTTGTAGTTGATTTATATTAGATCAATGTTTTTATTTTATAGTTTAACTTCTTTTTCTAGGTAATTATTCTCATTTTATATGAAATAGGAGTATATTGTTTTAATTACATGTTTCTCAATAGTACATTTTTATGTATAATGTCCTTTTTTAATAGAAATATATATTACTTTTTTCTCTTTTCACGAAAAATATAACATCTCTAATCAATTTTATAAATAATAATAAAATATAAATTGAAGAGATAATATATTTTGAAATATTTCAATTGAATTTTTTTTCAAAAATTGAGTAAGTTGAAAGTGGGTTAACTTATCAATCCACTATTTTTAACCTACCAACTTATTAAGGTGGATTAATTCATCAACCCACAGTGAAGTGGACTGAGTTGCATTTTTCAACTTATTTTCTTTGGTGAATTAATTCATCTTACCCCGTTTCTTTGGTGAATCAACTCATCCTATCCTATTTTAGGTAGGTTGATCCATTTTACCATTTCTAATGATGATTGTCATTGGATGACAACTAACATCCTTACCAAGAATCAAATTAGTAGGTCACAAGTGAATCTGACTCACAATCAACACTACCATATCCATGTTTCAAGTCAATTCCAAGCCTTTGTAGATGACATGAAATTCTACGTTAGATTAATAGTGCAACTACAATATCCAAAGAACTCATAGAATCACGAACAAAACCACCAAACCTAGAAGGTTCATGAACTAAACATATAATAATTTTATACTAAAGATGTCCCTTAACAAGATTTTTTTGACAAAGTTTTCTTTATATATATGACAAAAAATTAACATATTTAAAAAACATAACCAGCCATTAGTTGTATTGAACTTTATAAGTAAACACATTTTTACACATTATTAAATTGGATAAAATTTAAGTACAATTTTTTAAGTACGATTGATGTTATTTTTCAATTAAACTTATAATTTGTTTAATATTATGCATAAACGTATATTACTGATATTTATATTAAATATAAATACATCTTAATGAAATAAAATTTTAATTTTGATTAGAGAAAAGTACTTACCACACTTATGGAATTATTACATATACATATTTTTTTCCCTTTATATGGTTTGATTCCTATAAAGTGAGTTACTTTACCGGCTAAAGTAACAAAATTTTCGATGTTAATGAAAACAGTTGATATTTTATATATCTATGATAAGTTATGTATATACATATATATTATTTCATCAACTACTGAAATCTATTACTTTTATTTGCATAATTGTAGGTGATTGTGAAGTAGAGTGAAAGACTAAGGTTTCCGATGATAATCAGGGTTGCGATGTGGTAGCAACGTCAAACTCCAGTAGTAAGGATGGAACCACGTACAACACAACATTATAGGAGCGCTTGCCCCACCCTAAAGTTTTTGAATCAGCTTATATCTTCATTGAAAAACCATATTTACCCCCACACAAAACCATTCCTTGCACCTCCACTCAAAATCTAAAAATCAGATTCCTCCCCTCCTCCACCCTTCCATTTCATGCATAAACACTACGAAAGGATCACGTATATTAGTTGCAGTTATTTTATAGAAAAAATATAATAATTTTTATATTTTAGTTTTAAAAAATTTTACTTTACAGATTTCAAAATATCTTTAAATTTTAAAAGCTCTATATAAATTACTTTACAAATTAAAATAAAATCAACCATTTACCATTTAGTTGATAAGATAATTTGTTTTGTATTGACTGTTCCTAGATCAACTGTTTTTACATAACATACTTTTTCAACAATGAAACTTACAAAAACAAGGTTTCATGATAAAATAAGAAATAAGTTTCTTACGAACACTTTAACTACTTGTATTGAAAAGGACATGCAAAGACTTGCTATTATAAAAGAAATTATGGAACAATTTTATCAAATTAAGAATCAAAGAATATCATAATCTTAATTCTTAATATCTAGTAAGTTTTTTTTAACGTATTTTCATAGTATTAAAACTAATGATATTTACTTTCAATAGATATGTAATATTTTATTTTTTTAAATTAACATTTTATTAGTCATTGTTAAGTTCATTTAAGCTTAAATATGTTTTAATTACTCAAATATGTAGTGATTTATTTTTGGTTCTCAAATTATTTTTTTTTTTAATTTTTGCAATTTGAAAAAAAATTATTTCATTCATTCTACTTAAATATCATTAATAATTTGTCAAATAAAAGTCGCATATTACTTAATCTATTGCACAAAATTCACTTATTAATAATTTTATAAATAAAAACATTATATTAATTAAATCTAATTAATAGGGTATAATTATCTTATTAGTTATTTTATCATCGTCACTATGCATCTTAGAATCTTAGATGACTGTAATGAAATGAAAGTCAACACATGCCTTAATGCAAAAATATTCTATATAGGCGAGAAAGCCTATTGCATGACTGCATCAGTTACGTCACGTGACTGTTATTATTATTACTCATACATCATGGGTCAAGTGTTTAGGTTGTGTTTGGATTAAGGCTTTGTTTGGATTTGAGGATGGAAAAGAGGGAGTGGAAAAGGAGAGATTTGAAGGGAAAGTGAGTAGAAAGTGAGGTTGTTTGGATTAAGAGAAAGTGAGTGGAAAGTGTAGAGAAAGTATGTGAAAGTTTGTGAGTGAATTGATTGATGTGATAGATAAAAATAAATTTTTTAATTGATAATTATATAAGATTACTATTTTGCCCTTAAGTTAAAAAATTTATAATTATTATAGTTAAAAGATAAATATATAAATTTTAATTAAAAAAATTATAAAATATTAAATATTAAATAT